TGAGTCCTGGTCCTTAATTGTTCCTTTGTTACACGCTTGGGAAATAGGCAAAAGTAAACACGTAATGAAGTTATGAAGTATGTTATTGTTATGTTCATAAACAAAGCTGAGGTGTTTTTAGTCGTAACTACTATAAGAATTATTATTATTATTAATAATTATTATTATCGTCATATGAATAATAATTAGTTGTTGCTTGGTTTCACAAAGATAGTGCTCAACCATGCTGAAATAGGCGGACAGACGATTCGTTTCACAGTATAGTTATGTGAAAAGAAACATGAAACGATTCGTCTGCCCGGCTATTTCGAGTGTTTCACTTGTTTGACACCACGGCATCAACTTTAACACAACTTTCCACAAAAACCGTAAAAGATATAGAACTTAATTATTTTTGACTAGTTCAAATGCTTTATAATGGCCTTCAAATCAGCATGAACAAATACAAAATTGGCCTTTAAATCAGCATGAACAAATACAAAATTGGCCAAGGAAAAAAGTTAAACTAAGCAACAAAGTATTTGTAGTTATAATGGCATAAATTTATCTACAGAGCTGGGATCTTTAGTTATTTACACCATTGATCTTGTAATTTTGTTACGATGGTACATTATAAATGTAGGGTTTTCGTCGTAACTTAGTTAAGAGTAGTTTTTATTTGACAGAACTTTGCCAATACAATTATGTAATCGAATAATGTTACTGTAGTACTATTGTTATAACTGCACAGTGTTATAACTTTATAACAAAATTATGTTAGTATTTAACTTTAATAGCTATTTTATAGATCGCTGTCAAGAAATTATTTGTATGTTAAGTCAATCTTCCTAATTATAAGTTGCTACTTCAATCTAGGTTTCCAGTTCCACTAGGTTCCCACTTGGTTTCCACAAGTTACAATCAACAAAATACGAACGTGCTCAATTGTAGCAACAACAAAAACTAAACATACGCACTAGTAGGCTAGCAGAAAGTGGGGCTTCAGTCCTTTTCCTCCTTAGCTTGACTGTTACAGGTACGTCTACAAGGTCCTGAGTATTTATATTTTCTAGATAATATCACAGTTGAAATGTTAGCTTCTGTATAAACCAGGGACAAAAGGAAATCGCGGCATGTACGGAATTGCGATTTTTCCCATTATTTGCGACAAATTTTATATATAGTTTAATGTATAGTCTGTTAAAAATCGCGGTATCGCGAATTTTGGCCAAAATAATCGCGAAATCCTTTTGTCCCTGGTATAAACTGGTTGGTATTTTTTATGCATGCGGGGTCACTGCTCTCCTATCTTTAAAGCTGCTCGTTTATTTAAATATTCCGTGTCTTATATAATTATAATATAGCTAGTTAAAAACGTCGATCGCGGTGAATACATCCCGGACTCTGGACTCCGGACTGAACGAAGAGCTCTTTTTTTCCTTTCTTTTTTTTATAAGAGAGGCTGGGCCAAGATAGCCCACGAGAGGATAGCATTGAGATGCTCTGCCTACCTCTGGGGTGTGGCGACCCTGGGGAAGGTTGCCGGTGAAATCAGAGTGAATGGTGTAAGAGGATGGTGTAAGAAGTGATATGAGTCAAAATGATTCGCTTAATTGCCAGCTTGGTAATGGGTTTGGAAAAGTGAACGAGACGAGACAGCATATGAGATAATACTTTAAGACGACGGAATCCTCGAACCAGTAAGTACAGTATGCCATCTGCAAAGCAACAGCTCTCAAATGTAAAACACAGCGGAGCTATTAAGGCCAACGTATGCCCACTGACTTTTGGCCCACCCTGTAGGATTGTGGAATTGGACACTTTAAAGTGGATTCACTGATTGTACCAAGCTTGGCCAGCTCATCTGCTTTTTCGTTCCCCCACAATCCGATGTGTGCTGCAATCCATCGTATCTCTAGCGTGTTGTTGGATCCGAGTGCATTAAGAAGAGCTCTTGCGAGGAACTTAATGTGAATAAATGGTATCGAAGGAAAAGTGGTGTTTTATTTGATTTAAAACCAGAAAAATGGTTTTATTTTTAATACGTTAGTTGTCCAGGTTAGTCCAGGTTATGTTCCTAAGTTAGTACAGGTTATCTTCCTAAGTACTAAGTAGGTGAACTAAATGGACTAAAGACATGGCGGTGGTGAAGATAGTATAAACGGTAAATACAATCAATTTTACAGTCTTTAAAGGGCTATTATCTGCTTATGAAATAACAGCAAAGTGTTTAAGAAGCGCCCAACAAAAGGAAGTGGGAACGTTTATATGTTAACTTGAGTATTCACTTTTGGGTATTCAGCAGAAAAGAAATGCTAACAAAATCATTTGTAGCAGAGTCACTATATCGGAGTCATGTCCCATGAAATCAACGTAATCGGCATTTCACATAAATTACATGCACAAGAACCCAAAGCATACCCGTCATAAAACATCTCATTATAAAAAGATGATTATAGTTGTCTCCCACGCCCATTTTAAAGATATAAATTGCAGAGAGACGGCTTCTTAATGTCATAAACATTAAACATGTTACTATGTTATAACGCGGACAGAGCAACTACTTAACTTCAAAAACAGGAGGCCTTATCAATTTATCAAAGAATTAACGACGGAAGAAAGGCCGGTGTTTTTGAGCATTTACAGTTGTATAACAAAAGAACAAAGGATGTATCAGTATAATTGTCAGACTAGATGGTCGTTTGAAATGCTTCAAGCTGTTTTGATGACTGCCTGACTCTTTATCAGTCTATTGATACTTTTACCCTTATTATAATGGTGAGTCACTGAGTCTTTGGGTTTACATCTTATAACAGTTCATAACGCGGCCAATATTTAAAACTTTTTAAAAATGACAATAGAAAACAAGCATAATTGTTAGAAAGAGAAGCACACATTAATTGGTTATGGTTAGGCTAAATATTGGTACATATACGCACATTTTAAATTAGAAGGAGAACATAAAGAAGGTCATAAGGAACACAATGTATAGAAAAAGAAAAGTATCTGATGTGAGATAAAGAAGCCGGATATGTTCAGCTTTCAGCGAATATTTCACATTGTCAGTACTACTTCGAATCAGTCACGTGATCATACTGATCAAATTTAGATCACATGGCGAGTCACGTGGTACGACACAATGAAGTAATTTCATCCGGGAATTATCATAAACAAGAAATGATCAAATTAATCCTTCATTATTATATTCCTTCGACTGAAAAGAGCAGTTTCCTTGGTCGCATTTATTTTGAACTCTTAAGTTAAACATCACAACAATGCGACTCATAAATAATGTTCCTATCCGGATATTACACTTTGCTATGTAGTAAATTTATTTATTTCTACTACTCAGAATTAGTAAATACTATTTATTGATTTGAGGATCATGCATAGAAATTCAAACAAGAAAATGATAATTTTCTTACGCGAAAATTATCAAAATTTTAATTGTAAATAAAATTTTGATAATTTTCGGGTAAACCCTTTATTAAAAAGATCATCTCGTGGGTAAATGAGCTTGTAAACCGATATGGGAAAGCAGATTTCAACCAATCATACATATATCTACGATAGTCCTCAAATGTACTTACATATTTTGTTCATACTAGACTGACGCTGACGATATAAAGTTTGAGGACAATAACTAATAAGACAAAATGAGACTGAAGAAGATCACTGATTGAAGAAGACGAGTTGAAGGCAATTCAAATTTTCCATAAATCACGAACCACTAAACGCATAATGACATGATGAGCTGATTCTACTCTCAAAGTCTCAAGTCAATACTAAAATACTAAATAGTATACTCATTACTCACGACCAGTCGCGACATAATTTCAATCACTCGCGACATCGCATAATGATCCGACAAATCTGCAGACTTTGGAAGCTTAATACTTCTACTTCTACTAGGTCGGAACTCGGTCTGATCTAGATTAATGCTACTGCAATTAGACTCGACAGCAATTACACCACTATTTTGCTCATATTTTATTCCGTAAAATCTGCATTCAGCGTCCTGCCCTTTACTCATTAAGGTCGTGAAATTAATAAATAGACCAGAAAGTGGTTAGAGGGATTGCTGGATCTAAAATTTTATATTATGCGTAAATAAAATCGCAACATATTTGACGTCAAATGACATTTGATCTTGTTATAAGGACGAAGCATGCTTGGCTGCTTATATACTAAAGTTCTAAATAAAAGCTGGAGTGTAAACACAACGCTGCTATATTATCTTTCTCTAAACTTCTGAAGAACAGAATTATAAAACTTGCAATCTGCACTGCAATTTGCTCTGTCAAAAGCAATATTCCTAAAATAATTTAAATGTGGCTGCGTTTTGAGTCAATTTACTTAGACACATTTAAGAGCTTAATTACAGATTATAATCACGACCGTCGCCCTAATACCTCCCACACTAGTATACCCCTATACTATAAGTATACCCACTTTATTGTCTTTCCAGGAATTAAGACACATCGGAAGTCGTTCAGCAGGTTTATTTTTCAAAACATTATAATTCAATGTCAAAGATGACAGGAATAAAAAATAGTTAAGTGAAGGTTTTTAAGAAATTTGCGCAAAATACTCTTTTTAACTCAAATTAATTAGACACGTTATTATATGAGCCTAATGACATATTATAATCACAACTAGACTATATTGCCTTAAAGGCAGGCACCAGTAAATAATGTAAGTGACGCTAACGACTTCTGGAGTCCTGAAGTCGTTAGCGTCACTTAATCAGAACGGTGATGGTATACAACTTAACTAGTTATAATAAGACTTAAACACTTGATAACCACTCACCTGACCATATTTCATGCTTATATCTTTATATAGATACGTTATACTGTTATATTATAGTAGACCGTTCTTTGGGCATATTTAGCGGACTGTTAACTGTGGGCAGCTTCACGAGAGACAAAGTTGAATTTCTCTCCTTTTTCCTATTTGTATCACCAGGGTAACTAGCGGTAACCAGGGGACCCTGTTGTTATATTCGTGGCTTATAACCTAGCCGCTTTGAATACCGCGGATCATCACAAGCGATGAGCTCTCAGTTAAGCAGGATGACCTCCGACCAGATGGCTCTTGAATCGAGTTCTATGTTCAACAATATGAGCTTATTGTATGATTCCGCCTATAAAGAGTCAGTTGCAGTGGGGTCTTTTATCCCTACATCAGAGCCGGATATCACAGAGCCTGATACTCTCTTTGTTCATCCTCCTTTTGATACTAGCGCTGGTACTGGTACTGCTAACCAACCTTCACTCTCCTCTCGTGCTTCTTTGCCTGGGTTTTCTAAAAAAGGAAGGGAAACACAGTTTGGAACTGTGGTTGGACTCCTGACAGCGCCGAGGAAACAAGATACTGCCCAATCAACCAATCAGAACACAGGATCAACACCACGTGACACAAACCTTGCTGCTATGAGTGTGCCCAAGTCTTCTGGATCCTCGCTTGGACATCTTGTTGGATTAGTACAACAGACTCAGAACATAACGAAAGTTTGTGAGTTGAACAAATATTTCGACTGATATTTTTTAATTTTTCGGGAAACAGTCATCATAATATTTTTCACTCATGGATTAAACTGAACGAACTGGTGGCCATTATTTATTTGTTAGTAAAAAACATTTGAGCGGTATTCGAGGGGAAATATAATTGCAACATTTTTATGCATTGACTTTCAGTTTTGGTTGGGTAAGCCGACTCACAATCTACCATGCCTTATAAAATGTGTTTTAGCAGTGGATATTATATAGCTCAGGTGTGAACGTGCGTGCCAAACTCTGCCCAACAATTAGCAAAGTAAACTATTTGTAGATCCCAACAATTAGCAAAGTAAACTCTTTGTAGATCCCAACAATTAGCAAAGTAAACTTTTTGTAGATCCCAACAATTAGCAAAGCAAACTTTTTGTAGATCCCAACAATTAGCAAATTAAAATCTTTGTAGATCCCGACAATTAGCAAAGTAAACTATTTGTAGATCCCAACAATTAGCAAAGTAAACTCTTTGTAGATCCCAACAATTAGCAAAGTAAACTTTTTGTAGATCCCAACAATTAGCAAAGCAAACTTTTTGTAGATCCCAACAATTGGCAAAACAAACTCTTTTTAGATCCCAACAATTAGCAAAGTAAACTCTTTGTAGATCCCAACAATTAGCAAAGTAAACTCTTTGTAGATCCCAACAATTAGCAAAGTAAACTCTTTGCAGATCCCAACAATTAGCAAAGTAAACTCTTTGTAGATCCCAACAATTAGCAAAGTAAACTCTTTGTAGATCCCAACAATTAGCCAAGTAAACTTTTTGTAGATCCCAACAATTAGCAAAATAAACTCTTTGTACTTTTGTAGATCCCAACAATTAACAAAGTAACGATACCCTATAACTGCAAGGACACCAATTGTGAATTGTCTAGAACCTCTAAACACATTCAACAAGGCCCTATATATAACTGCTGAACAAGACTACTGTTTAAACAATTAGCTGGGTACTTTAAAGTGTTCGTGACGAAGTCAAACAGTTATTCGGCTCTAAGATTGGCAGTGTTGTAGAAGGGAATGTTGTAGAAGACCAGGGATCACATTCCTCAGACAACTCCATGTACTGACGGTAATTTATAAGAACGGTATATCTGTAGAACTCATTAAATAGAATCAGAGTTCAGGAAGGGAAGAACACTTTTGAGTCATTGCATAGAGTGAAAGTCTAGTGAAAGTGAAAGTGAAAGTACTCGGATCAAATGTGACTGGTGTTAACCAGGGAATGGAGCAATCCACAGAACAGTGTATCGTAATTGATTAATTACACTTCTAAAAGTCCAAAATTGGCGTCCCTGCAATTCACGCGAAATCGGGTGGGTGATGACAATTTGGAATATTCTGCTCTGCTTTCGTCAAGGATATTGTTGTAGGCTCAGGCTCCCATTTCACGAGGTTGCCCGCGATCAAAATATTATTCTTAGGTATGCCTTACCCATTTTTTTTATTCATCATCAGGTTGTCATCACATTTTGTCAGGTTCTCCTCAAGTTTTGGGTTTTCGTCGTGTTTGCGCTTTCTACACTAAGCTTCTTTTGATTAAACATATATACATATTTTTTTGATTATTATTGCTTTATTGATTTCATTTCAGGGGACACGGGACAAACATCCGATAACAATCAAGCTAAACTGACTGCTAGGTACGAAGCCAAGATTAAGACCCTTGAACTTAAGGTATAGTGCAATTTTAATATTAAGCTGTTAAAAATGTATGATGATCATCGTTTTAGTGCGCTTAATTTGAATCGATCACTAAAAAATGTAATTTCATGTCGTGTTAATTTAAAAAATGTTTTCGTAGTGTTTAGTGAGAACATCACGGCTATCGATAACTCTTTCATTTAATCGAAAATTAAATGAAAATGATCGATGTTTACGCGATAGCCGTACAATGTTAACAATTCATGCTCGGCCTTCCGAGATTCATGATAATATGTTTTTGAAGAGTGCTAGTATGACTAATTGACTACTGTTTTCTACTTTAAAAGTTCTGCTGATTTCACACAAAAAAAATCATCCATATATTTGTTTATCTGTCGACATTATGTTTTCTTATTTAGTCTTTCTCTGTTCTCTTTTGAGACTACTACATTTCTTATGATACATACAGGCACTTTTACTTGAAACTCAGGTAAAGACGATGGAAGAGGCTAATAAGCGAGAATCTATCAACTCTAGTACTAGATGGCGCCAAATCCTCAGCGAGAAAGATGTCGGTATATTTTTACATCACATATTTCATTCTCCTACATTTTATTTCACAACCTTTCATTCCCAAGACTAAGCATTCAATTCTTCGTGTCTAATAAAACTCATTTCAGGCCAAATTTAGCTCGTTGCGTACCCAAGTGCGTATCCTAAAAGAAAACAAAACGAGATCAGGAAATTCTCCACTGCCAGTGTATCCAACAATACAACCACCCCCAATGCAGTTTGACGATAACCACGGTAACCGAGGTAACCATTACCAGTTTGGCGGTAACTCAGATACATCATCACGCTCCGAAATCGACTACTCTGACCCCTTCTTATGTCAGATGGAGATAAGCAGGCTAATAAGAGTAAACCAGGAGCTGGTACTTCATCTAAAAGTGTCAGAGTTCGATACTACTACTTTCTTACTGTCTCACGTTATACTGGCGCTCATAGCTGTTCTTCTGTTGTAGAGTATGTTTTTTTTAAATTTTGAAACAGATGTTATCAGTTGCAAATTTTTGGAACTATGGTTTCATTTTTGATTAAATCCTTTACAGCATTGCTTGTTTATTTTTTGTGTGTTAATCTTTTAAACATTTCACATTAAGAATTTAAGAATTTGTAATGTTTGACCTCGTGTGAATTTTAGAAGATTTTAAGTTGGACTCCAATAAATACAAAACACTCAACACTGCTTTGTCGATAAAATCTTATCAACCGAAGTTTCAACCAACTTTTTAATTTAGCGAATATAAAAACCCACTCACTCATCAAATAAAATATTAAAAATAACACGGAAAAACTCTAAGTTGAGAAGAACGTACCGGGCTTAAAGTACGTACCGTACGAGGTTTTTTTACTAGTACGTACCGTACAACCACTTTAAAGTATCCTTTTTTACCTTATTTTCTATTGTTGTAAAATTGGCAGGTACGTATGCAATTTTCAAACCACGATATTCGTGCCAGTGAATGCTAAAGTCGAATTAAACAATTTTTAAGACAATAAATTAATTTGAATAACTGCAATTATAGGAACTCAATAGGAGTACGTACAGTAGTCAATGCTATTCCGTATTCGCAACTAATTATATCCGAGAGACAACATTTGAATGGTAATCGATAGTTTGATCTAGCAATTCACTACGCTACAATTAATGGCAAATTATGCTAATCGTAACTAATTGCATCCAAGATACCATACATACCATTCAATTTCATAACATTTCATGATTGATATGCGGTCATATGATCTGGTAACCAATCAATATTAGATTGAAGCGGTCATATTGCATATTATAGTGTACAATACTGTTCACGAACACCTGTTCGCGAACAATTGTCCACAAACAACTGTTCGCGAACAGGGGTCGGGCTATCTGGATACTGCCCAGAAGTTCTTTAGGGTTTCTAGTACTCTTCACCTTCTTCTTCGCCTTCACCGTCAACAGAGTCGTCTCCGACCTCTTCGTAGTCCTTCTCCAGAGCAGCCATGGATCCTCCCTAGCCTCAGAGAACTCTCCCTCTTCCATACCTTCTCCTACGTACCAATGGACGAGTGGGTCGTATGCGACCATAGCTGTATCTTTTAAATTAAACGAGATACAGATTCGATTAGCTTTTTTTGGATATCTCATTTTAGCTGTGCAGTGACCTAGTGTGTTAAATTACATCAAAATTATCGACAAAGTTTGAAACTGGTCGTCCCTAATGGGTTGAAACATCAGAAATCCTCAGTTTCGAGAGTTTTTAAATTTGTTTGGTTCTACATTAGTCATAATTCAGCAAATTTTCCAGCACAGAGAAGTTGCCTATATATATTTTATAAAAATTGTCCATCAAAAGACGCCTGCATTCACACACGGAGCACTATCTGATTATTCATCTGACTTGATGATGATCTTGGTCAGAGTAGCAATTGTTACTGGTGGTTTACGGTAGACTCCCTGAACTTGGATATTGTCAGCTAGATCAGAGTAACTCGAGCGTTATCAAGTTACCAGATAGTAGATGCCCACTGAGATCATCATCTACTCACCACATTGATAGAAGTAAATATTGCTGATGTTTTCTTTGTGCCATTTCCGTTATCTCGATATACTATCTCATTCCGCCGAACTATTACAGCTAAAAGCGTTAATTTTTATCTATGCTTAAGTTTTCTTTGACACGTCACAGTGATTTTAAGCTTTACTCGGTCAATGCTTCAATGCTATGGAAGCTGATTGGTCGATCGCTGACAAGTATCAGGAAAAAATGGTTCACAGCTTCATTGATAAAAGTATTCCTCCAAAATAACTTTGTACTTTTTCACCTTTCCTTCTAGAAGCTTCTTCTTGAGTTCTTTGATAATCAATTCTTTCCGAATATCTCTTAACAGTTTACAGTTGAATAAGTCAGTGTTGTTGCTATCAAGGGAGGAAAAGCTGCCTAAATATCATACGAGATTGTAATTTATAACTTTATAAAAAACAACGTTTCCTATTATTGAAAACTGTATCATTCTGATAGTTAGATAGTGCAACAAAGAGGAGTCGGTATCTAACACAGTAACATAGATATGGGTTGAAGACAGCTCTAAATGATAAAGATAATACTACTACTAGTCCATTTCACAGCAGCTGTATCCATAAATGAAACACCTCAAGTGAATAACTGTAAGTACGGATAATGATTAGACGCTCTCAAGTATTTTCTGTAGAGCAGATTGAGATAGTTGTATGGTAGTATGCGGTAACATTTTTAATGGAGTTGATAATGTCACGACTAAAAATGGTTTGAAATAATCTTTTCAGGTTTGATTGTGGGAAACGTTCCATGCAAAATAACGCCAGTGGAAACGCGACTGAACGGTATCAGAGATGAAAGTGAAACACCGCATCTATTTGATTCCAATCTAGCAACATTTGTAAAAGTAAATCCGGAAACTGCCAAGGAGTTGTCTTGGATTGATCTTGACTTAGGTGGTCTGCATCACGTGACCAGGATTGTCATCTACCAGATATTCTCATTAGATGCTTGCGGAGGGACTCAATCTGATTGGTGTCTCGAGAGTGATTCAAATTATAAAAAATGTAAAACTAAGTTCTACAATAATACTGTAATTGATGCATACAAAAACAAGGGCAGAGTTGCGAACGTAGGGAAACTTGAACTAAACAATGGTCCTACACTAACCGATCAAACCTACACTTTTGATACAAACTTCATTGGTGATCAGCTGATCCTGCAAAAGGGATCCGGAACCATCTCAATATCGGAGATAATAATCATGGGTACTGCCGTAGGTAAGATTGGGCTCCTTTCACATTTCTTCCATGAAATGTTTGTTATTAAATAATAGAACTTAACCTTTAATTTTACTTTTTATAACTCTATTAACTTTTTATCGGGTTCAATATTTTGTTAACTGCTCCTCACACGTTTTATTTTCAGACCCAGACGAGGAGTCCTGTCCAAGAGGTTTTATAAAGTTACAGTTAAAGTGTGATGATCCTGAAGCTGACAAATGCAGGGAATATCGTGAGTTTGGGTATTATTGTATTCATTAGTTGCTCCTTATCATTATCTTTAGCAGATTAGTTTTAGATTTCTATAAATGAGTTTAAGATGTTAGTAGATTCCAAGGCCGCAAAATTTGGGAAGATTTTGCGGCAAGTGTCGAATTGTGTTTATTATTATTGTCTTTAACAGATTTGTTTAAAATTTGAATAAATTAGTATAAGATTTTGATTGATTCCAAAGGAGCAAAATTTGGGAAAATTTTGCCGCTTTATGAATCATCATTAATCTTTAAAGCGGATTAAGAAAGAGTTATTAAGAAAGAAATATTCGATAACCAACTAAAGTCTCATACTATTTGTCCTTCTCAATGAGAGACAAATCTCATTATTCAAAAATAAATGAGACGAGATGCAAGAAGTGCAGCAAACGGAAATAAAGACTAATCTAATAGGTATACAATTTAAAATACTGTCTGTTTCTATTTTGAAGATTCTTAATCGACCAGGTTGAAAAATTTGGTTTATTCTGCTTTTTAATTCGAAATTCGATATCGTATGCGTTAGTTCATTAAATCTAAACACCTGTTCATTAAATGTTGGATTCCATAAAATTCACTTAAACATTTCAGATCTGAAGAAAAGAATTTTTCACTGGTAGAAGATCAGAAGATGTGTCACATTAGTATTACCATGCTTGCCAGGAACCACATCACCCACACACAGGGGGACTAAAGTGCGAAGAAACTGCTGCTAACTGCTGCTAACTACAGCTTCTAACAGCTAACTGCAGTTTGAACCCACATAGTTTACAACTTCAAGTTCAATGTCTATGCTTACTCGGACTTTTGTCCAACTCTCAAATCCCAACACTTAATTTATTGATGAGATTTATAAAACTGAACTGCAGCGGCAATCTTTTCATTTCAAATTTAGGAGTGTTGACTTAATAATCGTGCTTTTCGGAAGTTAGATTTTGAAATATCGAAACGAGAACGATATAGATACGGCTATTTTTTGTACATATCATATGTAATATTGATAAGGCTGAATATCTTTCAGTACGATTTTCTAAATTATTTTCTATGTACCTCAAATTCTATGACTATACGTATCAACAAAATTTATACTGGGCGGCGCTCAGCCTGTCATTCCGCCGAATCTCTATCTTAATCTATGAATCTCTATTTATGAACATTGTCATTATTGATTATAGCCTGGGGTCCCCAGGTAACATTGTAACAACAAAATACGAAACATTTTTATTTTGTCGCCCAAAGTAAAGTGGGTACGTCGGATTATAAAATGACCATTTCAATATATCTAGCGATATAGATAATGATTAAATCTTATTTTACTAAATATCTTACTCATAATCATATGGGGTATTTTTATTTATTTTCATAATGCAACAAAGGCGAAGTTACGCCATGAAGACGATCTTTTGCTCCATTTTATGGTACACGGTCACGATAGACTTACTATAATAATAATGTATAATTATAATAGTCATATGTCATCGCAACGATTATCCTGAACGGTGAATCGTGCTCGTCCCGACGTCCCTCGCACTGCGTGCATGGGCACTTTCAGTTTATTGGACTTGGAGTTAGATTAAAATAGGCTTGAAATTTATCACTTTTCACTTTTAATGTAATTGCATCGCGACAAAAATTTTTAAAATAAGATAACGACTAAAAACAATTTACTATTTTAACAGGTCACTGTTTATGGTTTAGTTTTACTGTTTAATATTGTTTACTGGCGGCGCTCAGCCTGTCATTCCGCCTAATTTTTCTATATGTTTATGGATATTAATATTATAGCCTGGGGTTCCCAGGTAAGTCACTGTCAGTACCTTACTCGGGAATCCGAATATTATGACTGGGATAAAGTGTTGGGTTTTGGAAAATTCCGCCAAATTTTTACCGGTCAAAAATTTTACCAGTCATAATAAAACCCGCCGAGTCAGATTATGGGGTTCCAAGGGGGTGGTGATCATCATATTTTAGTTTTACCTGAAGTCTCATATGTGTTAGAGAAGACTTTTGAAGCAGTGGATGGACTTGGAGGACTGTAACTTTATTGGCTGTTGCTACCATAATTTCGTTATAAAAATCACAATTTGGTTATAGAAATCAGATTTCAGGATGGACCGTGATTCTCATTTCTCTTGCCCATGAATCAGTGAATCGTAGAGAAGAAAACGATTTATATGTTATAGAAGAAAACAGTGGAGCGAGAGACACAAGCTGAGTCGCTAAAGATTGATTGCTTCTCATAAGTGCAGTGTGTAGACTATCACGAAAGGAAGAGGGAGTTTTCCCCGTTAAAGTAACTTGTGGCCACATCCCGCTAGAAGTGAGTATAAGTAATAACTGTGCCACTATTTCATGGTCCACGGTGGATTGATTACTCATACTGGAGCAGTTGAAGATGCAAACCCAAGACGTTCCCCAATACCAAGCGGTGGGCAGGAAATCAAGCTCCGGCTGACCTTCAGAGCAGTAACCTCATTTTATAGTGGACAAAATGAAACTCTTGTTAAGACAACAATACGACTTCGAATTTGACGGTCAGCAGCAGGGGGATATCAATAATGATAATGGAGGGGACATTGTCATTAGCGATAATGAGAATGAGAATACGCTTTAATGAAGATTTGACTTATTATTGCTTAGATTTATTTTCCTTTAAATAGACGTATCTTTTTTTCTATTTCTGAGTAATATCAATAACTGTAAATTGAAATAACTTCTTTAACAAGTAACAAAAACAGAAATTTCGGTTGAAAATTTGTTGACCGCTGAAAAAAAACTTAAAAGGTCGGCCACCGGTAAATTCATGACCGGGATAATTTGGCGGGTTTTGGGAAAGTCCGCCATATTTTTCCCGGTCATTAATTTTCCCAGTTTCACATAGCCATGTGTCTACGCGTACTGCGGCGGTACCGCGCTACTGCAAGCGAGAGGGCTCTGGTTAGAGCAATTTCCCAGTCTGAGTCATAAATTAAGCCGCTATAATATTCCCGAGTAAGGTAGGTCAGGTTCTAAAAATATACGAGTCCTTAAAATTGATCCTTAATCCTTGTTAATATTAACAATGTCAAATGTCACACTCACAGGTCACTTAATTCTCGCCACAAGCCACATTTTCGACACCATGCCTATTCTCTTATTATATTATTATTAGATTAACCATTAACTTGTCACCTGCAAATTGAGCCGCCCACGTGTTGTATTATAACTCAGAACTCGCGCGCGCCGCCTGTCCAGTGTCGCGTGATGGTATTTATTTTATATTTCATTTCCTGATTTGCTTCGGCGCTTCGCGCCGCTGTTTTCGATTTCGACTGTTTTATCCATTTTAACAGGACGTTTTCTCCACGTTGATGAGGCGTAAAGAATATTGAGTGCAGTACACTAGACTTAGTTGGACTAGTTGTCTCAATCTCATCACTACTTCACTACACGTGTATTATTAGCAATGTTGTTTCACGTGAGCTCTTTCCCATGCCATTGCCAAGCTTTTACCTCATTTCATTTCACCACTCTCAAATAACTCCAAGTCCCAAGATCCCCAAAATGCTAATCAGAGCGCTGATTCGGGTGCGGTGGGTTATATTAAGTGAGCTGGACTCTCTCTCTTCACACATTCCGTAGACACATTCCATAAAACGAGCTCTTCATACAACCGTTAAGATTATTAATGCCCACAACTTCCGGCTTTCGAAATAATTTCTACTATCCTATCGTATTATGAATTTATGGGGACGCATAACTAGTCTGACTGATTATTAGACCAATTTTGATTAAGTTTAATCAAAACTGGTGTCAATAACACTAATACTTATAGTCATTGCTTAAACTTTAAAGCTTAGGTTCGATTTGTTTGAGAGGAGCGGAGAGAGAGGCGGATCGGCGTGACTAGGATGGGTAACAACAAATTTGTGTAGTGAAGCGGGGAGGTAGGGTGCTAAGGGTGGATCGGAGAGGGAGAGAGAGTGCAAGAAGGGAGGGGTGAAATGTGGTGGAAGCTGTCTCCTCCTAGTCTAGCCGGCCCTCACCCTCCAACACTACACTTCCTATTTGACCGCGTGTCACTGTGTATATGTTGTGTTGGGTGAGATAATGTGTGTACTAACTGGATTTACTCTCGACCTGCCCCTCTCTGAGAGTGATCACTGATCACCCTTGTTCTCTCCTCACTGGATGACATCATATCCACTTTCCAGTTTCCTCTGATCTCGAGTAGTCAGATGTCACGTGATTAGGCTACAATTTCACCACTGTGGTGGTAATATCCTTGAAAGTGTTGTATTATCGAGTATATAATACAACACTTATATCCGGTAATTAGATTAACATGGCCGGCCTAGATCCTTCTCACACACTGGGACACAGCTCAGACCTTTAAGGGAGAGCACATTTCAACTTCCTTCTTTTCAGTTGTGATCCCCTTTTCTATGGTTTCAACCAGTTTACTTTCACCAAATAATAATGATTTTTGGTTCTTTGTTCTTTGTTTCTGAAGAGATATCCCGTGATTTGATTACTCACCACTGACGAGACAAGCACGCAATATCAGGGAGTGTAAATTTAATTAAAATTTAAAAGTGCGTGATTTTTCCAGATCCCCATTTGACAGGAGATACCTTGCTGATACTCTACTCAAATTTCACTCCACTTGGTAAAAACGTTCACTTCTTACACATTAAATTTGCGCTTGAATCTAATTGATTAGCACAAGTTTTGAAATTACACGCGTACTTGTACGCAATTTATTATTTGCCACCTTACGCTGCATACATTTATACGGGTTTCTCCGCTAGTTTTTAGTCTACAGTACATTACATTATCTCGCATAATGTACACTCTCTATACACACACGCAGCATGCAGTAGTTGCATGTTTTTAGACTGCACCTAACTGTTAACAGTTGTGCGAGGTGTCAAGTATTACGAGTGAACTACATTCCTACTCCTAGAGACATCAGGTGGCAAATATTCCGCATTCCCCACAGCTTATCCTGTTCCAGTAGAGAACAATCTTACGAAATCGTGTTGCTTTAGTTTCAGCAGTTTTCGAGGAGTTTACTTAGTTTTGACGTGTTGGTATTGTCTGATTTGTCGTTATGATATAATGCTTATGTATCTGATAATTTCTCAACCCACGCTCTTGAAACTAACTCAGCAAGATAATATCTACTATAGGGCCTAGGCCTGCCATTCGCATCCGTTCATGAACCGCATTTTTATTTTTAATCCTCCGTTTTTTTAAATACTACTCAGATGAATGAAACTAAACAAATCTGTGTTGATAGACCCACATTTCATCAACATTTGTAATTGCTTTTTAACAAAAAGTAGCACAACTGAAGTCCCACTTCTTTACATTTGTTGATTGGCCCAAAATCTCACGACCATTTGTGCTGTGGTTGATGAGTGTTTTCTTTTGCTTGTTAAACATTACTCTTAACCTTTTAAACGACTTTTAAATTTTGTTTTGGACATGCCTTGATTGGCGGAATGTTATTTTTACGTCTCGCACCACGCTCAATGGGGAGGGCCGGGGGGCTCACACCACGCTCAATGTTTATTTAGCTGTGACCTACGCTACTCCCTAAGAAGGTTCGTGCTATTAAAGTATTCGTTTTAAGTGAGCAGTTAAGTGGGTTCTTTTGCGATAGTCAAAACGCGACAACTAGCGCCATCCAGCGCTAGTTGTCGCTATCCAGCGCTAGTTGTCGCCATCCAGCATGCAGCGCTAGTTGTCGCCATCCAGCGCTAGTTGTCGCCATCCAGCGCTAGTTGTCGCCATCCAGCGCTAGTTGTCGCTATCCAGCGCTAGTTGTCGCTATCCAGCGCTAGTTGTCGCCATCCAGCGCTAGTTGTCGCCATCCAGCGCTAGTTGTCGCCATCCAGCGCTAGTTGTCGCCATCCAGCGCTAGTTGTCGCTATCCAGCGCTAGTTGTCGCCATCCAGCGCTAGTTGTCGCCATCCAG